ATGACCAGAGCAGTAATGGGAGCATGTAGAAGATCCTGACGTGGCAACAGGTGGAACAGGCGAAAGCCGGTGAGCAGCTGGTGCTTGCTGTTCTGGGCTGGTTTGCTGTAATAATGACAGAGGATAGATAGCGAGATGAATTATTTAAGAGAATAAAAATGGAAGCAGAAAGATGAATCAATCGTCTTTCCTCGTCAGAAATGCGGGTGACGGAGGCAGTGGCGCAAATACTGCAGCTCCTGGTTGCTTTGACTGCGTGCGATCTGACAAACAGCGCCGAGCTAATTTTTTCCCAACAAAAAAGAATTGCCTTCATGAAATGCATAAGCAATTAATCCGCGCCATGGAGTCGCCACGGAGGGCAGTTGGCGGGTGACCTTGACAGTGAAGAGGAAGGACTTACATCGTGATATTTTATGTTTATTGTGCCACACTGATATTTTATGATGTACCTGTTGCCAGTGATTTCCCGTGTTGTCTGTGATCGTCGAGGCTGTGGTGGTGGCTAGCTTAGCGCGACAGCCGCCGCCTCCCCCGTTACTTCTCTCGTGCTCGTGCTCTTCCTCTTCTCTACTCCTTCTCTCCTTCTCATCTCTACTTCCCTTTTCTCCTTCTCTTCTCTACCACTTCCTCCCATTTGTTTTTCATAAGAAGCGGCCGAGGCAAGGACGCCTACGATTCCTCGCCGTCATCCGAGCAACAAAAACTCGGAAAGGAATACCAGGAATATGAGGAAATGTTTGTTGGGACCCGCGAGCCTCCTTTCTCCTCCTTCCCTTCCTCTCCTCTCCTTTTATTCCTTCCCTCCTTCATCCCTCCGCCCCTCCCATCTCCCTCTTTCCCCCGACACTGCGACCCTCTCGTTCCCTGGTGGTTTGTTTGTCTGTCTGTCTGTTGTTTCGGTCTGTTTGTCTGTTTCTGTCCCTGTTTCTCCTTCTTTCTCTCATTTCTTTTCTCTTTCTAGATGTTTCTCTGTCCTTTTTGTTAATTCACTTATCACTGCACTATTCGACACTGTAAGATCCACGACGAAAATTCAAATTCGTTAACTACACGCTTACATTAAAGTACAAAAAAGTGAAGATACGAGTGACGTAGGAAACACGCTATCGACAAGACCTCCAGCCGTTGGCTTCGCGTCGGCTTGCCCCCTTCTCTGCATCCCGCCCGCGTTACCCTTCGTATCAAATTCCATTCCTCGGCTAACGTAAGGTCATCAGTAATTTTGGTTTTAAGTGAATGAGAATAATATTTACAATACAATTTTCTTTTCTCATTCATACCTTTTCTACATTAGTTACAACAAATACAATTCAAGATATATATATATATCTATGTCTATACCTAATTATCAGTAGATGTACCTAATATGATATTATTCAAATGTACATAACATCTTTACTAATGTTTACGTGGAACCCAGACTAAGTATTTTTATTCATGAAAAAATATTTTTTAATAACATTTGTTATCATTCTTTACAGCATTTTTTATGCTTAAGAAAAAAGACAGTCGGCAATGGTCGCCTTCCAGGAACGTAAGATTTAAAACCTGGTCAAGAAGGTCAATACCCACCCTCTCAGCCGCATACCACCCGACCTCCTCGCCCCGTGCCCGTACGAACCCCAGCCGTGGTATGTTCCCAGGCTGCACGGGTACCGGTCCCAGGCCAAGTGCAACCGAAGTAAAATTCAAAAGCTTGAAAAGCTAACGAAAAGTAAAATCAACTTGGCCTTGGTGGCTTTGCTTTCTCTGGTTGTGTCCATACTTACTTTGGTTTACATTTCAGGATGGTTGAAGGGGAAGAGGAAGGCAGCCGCCGCCCGTCGGGAGCAAGAGCTGCAGGCGCAGCTGGCAGCTGCAACGCGTCGCGGCAAGGATCGCGCAGTAGATGGCCTTACTGCGCAGCTGGAAGCTGCAACGCGTCGCGGCAAGGATCTGGAAGCGCAGTCAGATGGCCTTACTGCGCAGCTGGAAGCTGCAACGCGTCGCGGCAAGGATCTGGAAGCGCAGTCAGATGGCCTTACTGCGCAGCTGGAAGCTGCAACGCGTCGCGGCAAGGATCTGGAAGCGCAGTCAGATGGCCTTACTGCGCAGCTGGAAGCTGCAACGCGTCGCGGCAAGGATCTGGAAGCGCAGTCAGATGGCCTTACTGCGCAGCTGGAAGCTGCAACGCGTCGCGGCAAGGATCTGGAAGCGCAGTCAGATGGCCTTACTGCGCAGCTGGAAGCTGCAACGCGTCGCGGCAAGGATCTGGAAGCGCAGTCAGATGGCCTTACTGCGCAGCTGGAAGCTGCAACGCGTCGCGGCAAGGATCTGGAAGCGCAGTCAGATGGCCTTACTGCGCAGCTGGAAGCTGCAACGCGTCGCGGCAAGGATCTGGAAGCGCAGTCAGATGGCCTTACTGCGCAGCTGGAAGCTGCAACGCGTCGCGGCAAGGATCTGGAAGCGCAGTCAGATGGCCTTACTGCGCAGCTGGAAGCTGCAACGCGTCGCGGCAAGGATCTGGAAGCGCAGTCAGATGGCCTTACTGCGCAGCTGGAAGCTGCAACGCGTCGCGGCAAGGATCTGGAAGCGCAGTCAGATGGCCTTACTGCGCAGCTGGAAGCTGCAACGCGTCGCGGCAAGGATCTGGAAGCGCAGTCAGATGGCCTTACTGCGCAGCTGGAAGCTGCAACGCGTCGCGGCAAGGATCTGGAAGCGCAGTCAGATGGCCTTACTGCGCAGCTGGAAGCTGCAACGCGTCGCGGCAAGGATCTGGAAGCGCAGTCAGATGGCCTTACTGCGCAGCTGGAAGCTGCAACGCGTCGCGGCAAGGATCTGGAAGCGCAGTCAGATGGCCTTACTGCGCAGCTGGAAGCTGCAACGCGTCGCGTCGACGAGCTGGAGGCCGAGTCGTCGTCCTCCACTACACCCACTGACATCTCTGCTGAGGAAAAATAGAGAAATAGGCAGAGGGTGAAACAGCAAAAGAGGAGACAGAGACAGAGGAGAGACGACATTCTGACATCATCATTGCAGATGAGAATGCCATCTCCTCCTGTTCTCCTACTCCCCCACTTCCCACTGACGGCATGAGACGGCATTCTGTAGATGAGAATGCCATCTCCTCCTGTTCCACTCCCCTTCCCTCTGACGATAAAACGAAACGACGCAGAAGGAGACAGAGACAGAAGGAGAGACAGAGGCATTCTGTAGATGAGAATGCCATCTCCTGTTCTCCTACTCCCCCACTTCCCACTGACGGCATCCATTCAGGGAATGAGACGGCATTCTGTAGATGAGAATGCCATCTCTCCTGTTCCACTCCCCTTCCTCTGACGATAAAACGAAACGACGCAGAAGGAGACAGAGACAGAAGGAGAGACAGAGGCATTCTGTAGATGAGAATGCATCTCCTGTTCTCCTACTCCCCCACTTCCCACTGACGGCATGAGACGGCATTCTGAGAATGCCTCTGTTCTCCTACTCCCCACTTCCACTGACGGCATGAGACGGCATTCTGTAGATGAGAATGCCATCTCCTGTTCCTACTCCCCCCCACTTCCCACTGACGGCATGAGAGGCATTCTGTAGATGAGAATGCCATCCCTCCTGTTCCACTCCCCTTCCTCTGACGATAAACAACGACGCAGAAGGAGACAGAGACAGAGGAGAGACAGAGGCATTCTGTAGATGAGAATGACTCTCCCACACAGCCAGAGACAGGGAGGAGAGACGACATTCTCCTGCTGACGATAAAACGAGACATCTCTGACATCTGTTCTCCTTCTGGCATCACTGTCCAAGAAAAATAACAGACGTCAGAAAAGGAGGAGAGACAAAGGGAAAATAAGCTAAAACCTAGGACAAATAACCTAGGCAATGATAGCAAATAATAACCTACTAAAGATGTAAACAGTGATGTCCAAATCTATAGACAAATGATGTGTCTAAGCTACATAGACAACTAAAGAGAGAAAAAGCAAAATAGTAAGGAAGAGATGACAACGGAAGGAGGGAAGAGATAGAGAAGAACAAAACGAGGTGAGGAGAACCTTATAATGAGAGAGAGAGAAAGACGGTTTGTGTGAGGGAGAGAGAATGAATGAGATAGAGGGAGAAACCTGAAATATTTCTCTCTGGAAATTGATGATGATAAAAAGGCACACACACACATAATCTTTATCATATATTATGAGACTAAAAAAACAGCAAAATCTGTGTGTGTGTGTGTGCCTCTATTTCTTTCTTAATTATGGAGAGAGAATGATGATAAAACATAGGAACAGCCGTCGAGAATGACGAGGAAGGAGAAACGAAAAAAAAAAAATATATATAAAATAATATATTTTATTATATATATATATATATATTATAGATATATAGAATAATCTCTCTCTCTCTCTCTCTCTCTCTCTCTTTCAACACCATGATTTACATCGTTTTAAAACTGTGTGAAGGAGGAAGCCAAGCAAAGTTTTAAGATTAATTTTCATATATAGTTATTGTAAGTTTTAAGCTCTTATTTTATGTTTTCGTCTTTGTTGTGTTTTTTTTGTTTTCATTTGTTTATTCATTTTCATCACTATTCGTACATGAAAGGAAACAATATGGTATTATTGTTACAGCTATTAGTGTTATCTGTGATACGTTAACTATTGTACACTATTATAGTCATCAGCATCGCTGTCATCGCTATCGTTATTATTTTCATTGTTATTATTGTTCGTATCAATTATAAAATAATAACATATATATACATACATGTTATTCTTTCCTTTTATTTAAAATGTAATACTGCCTATCTATGTCAACCATTACAAACAGCTAAGTAGACGTAAGCCTGAAAAAAAAATCTGGCGCCATTTTGAGTTAACGTCCGATAGCAAAATATTCACTCCCGTTATATGTCATTTAGTAAATTCTTTATGTATGGATCGAAGCTTTGTAAATTGTTTATAAGCACGTAAAAAAAGGGAGAGAGAGAGGTGGGGGAGAGAGAGAGAAAGAGAAAGAGA